TTACTAGTAGCGTGGCACTCGTTACTACTAGCTTCTTGTTACTACTAAGATGGCTAGAAGAAGGGAATTCAGAGCAAAGGAGGCTTCTCGGCGCCAAGACGCAGGTGTTCACGTGTTTGCCAAGCCATGCGGCTGCCGCTGGTCGTTGGTCGTTCTTCTGAACGTTCCGTCCGTTCGTTTCGTTGAGGTTCTCTGGATCCAATGGTGGAGCAATCATCCAAGGTGGCACGGGAGCACGCCGTCAGTGGGGGGGGAGAAGCTGAGGTGTGTTCTTTTTTTTTCTCCAACACAACAAAAGTAGGTTGGAGGCCATCGCCACTAGGTTTTGAGGCCATTGCTATAGTGAAATATAGTGAATTTGTTGTGAATGACTGAGTCATAGACAGGCGGATTTATACATCGATATGATATGAATGCATTTGTGACATTGATTTGACTAAAGGCATCCCACGTGTGTGTGATAGATATCGATTTGTGTGCCTCAAACCAAGCCAGCGATGCACGCACATTCGCAATCAGGTTGGTACATCTATGTGTCTACAGATGGAGAGACCTGGCCAGCGGACACATCGCCCTCAGATGTCATCGCAGATGTGAACACGATGCAGTTGGGTCCCCAGTTCGCACCGTTCGTCCAAGTGAAGCGCCGTTGGAAAACAGAGCACGTCGAATCCTCAACGTAGCATCACTCGTAGCAGCGCGATCGGTGTTTACGAGCGAGCGACAGGGTGCACGCGATCGGTGGAACAGTGTTTCAACGAACGTGTTCCTTCTGTCGATAGACACAGACCCAGTGTTCATCAGTGTTCCAACCTGTTTCGTAGACCTTCTTTCTACTAGTTTCTTGTTACTACTAGTAAGGCACTTGTTACTAGAAGCGATGCACTTGTTCCTAGTAGCTTATTGTTCTAATTATTGTTTTCAACATGTGTTCCTTCATGTTTTCCTTCATTCTACGCTCGATGACTTTGGGAGTCGTCGAAGTCACGTCTCCGCTGAGGTATCAAATCACATGTGCCACATACTCTGCTGGCCAGAGCGTGCTGTGGGTCTGGGCACTTAAAGTCAGGTCGAAGTAACGATTAAAATACTCATTCTTTGCATCCTAGCAAGGACGCTATTAGGTGGACATCGCTAGTAGGTTGGAGACCATCGCTACTAGTAGCCAATAGCTACGAACGTAGCTTCTTGTTACTCCTCATTAATTGTCTTTGCTGCAAATTTGTGGATAGAACCAGATTGCCCTTTGCCCATCATTTGGGAAGCCTTCAACCAGAAGCAAACCCACATGTTTCAGCCGATTTGCAAGGTGAAAGTGGCTGGATACAGTCTGGCAGGGATTGGCACGCTCTCGGTCTATTCCTCAGCGAAGTTGGTGTTTGAAGGTGGGAGCTTTTGACCTGATCCGACTAGCTCATCAGAAACTACTCCGGGTTCCATCAAGCAATTTTGTCAAAGCCTCCATCTGAATGATTCGACATGCCTTCCATAAGTGCTTTCCACTAGGGTGGAGGCTATCCACTAGGGCAGGTTGGAGGCCATGCAGATTCCGACACCAAGGGTACCTTGGCTTCACGCTGCTCTGCAGTGCCGGACACCCCGGCGCAGCCCAGCATCGTCAGCTCCAGCTCCACGCACATCACCATTGGCTGGCCGGGAAGTCCCAGAGGGTTGGGCACCGTTCGAACACGTCACTTGTTGGGCATGAATGCACAGATTTCATGCATATAATAGAACTAGACTATAGTCACATGATGTCACAGCACCATGTCATTGGTCCTAAGATGCCTAGGCCCTCTAGGCTTTCTATCCCAGTTTCGGAATGATTGTGCTGAAAGAAGGTAGATGCGCCAGACAATCAGTTCGATGTCCCTACTCTCCACTCTCTTTTTGAAGAGTCAAGAATAGAAGCTTATTCTGGGACCCTGACACCCCGAACGGTTTGGGTATTCCATTTTGTTGTTTGGATTATTCAGTATAGCTTCTTGTTCCTACTAGTAAGGCCAGGAGCTACTAGTAGCTTCTTGTTACTAGTAATAAGGTGTCTTGCTACTAGTAGCGTCCTTGCTGCAACTGTTCATTCACATGCGTGGTGCTTGGCTTAGCATGGCGTCCTGCAGCGCAGGACGGCACCAACGGCCACCGAGCTTCACAATGCCTTGCATCAGGGCACCAAGGAGCGAACTTTCAGCTTTGGCATTCCATCGTTCTTGGAATTCCAGTTCGATTGCTAGTAGGTTGGAGGCCGCCGCTATTTAGTAGCCCAGCAAAAACTGAGTTCAAGTTCTTCGCATTCACTGCACAGGTTCAATTTGACGATGGAGCCAGCGGTCCCTTCACCAGCGTCATGCTGACGGACACGTTGCAGGTGCCGAAAACTGGCTCGCATCACTAAACTGGTCCATATTTGGGTGGAGAAGACAGCAGCTTCTTTTCGATGCAACCAAAGTACACAGGAAAGTCATCTTAAAGGTTAATCTAGGCAATGACACAGTGTTTGCAGAGTCACACGATTTTTGTGCAGGTAGAGTATACGAAGACTGGGGTCTCTGCTGGTCAAACATACAGGCGCGTTTTGACACCGAATGGAATGAAAGCTGGACCTGGACACCATGAATTGCGCAGAGAAAGAAGCTTTTTCTACTAGGTTGGAGGCCATCGCAAGTAGGTTGGAGGCCATGGCTACTAGGTTGGAGACCATGAAACGCGCAGAGAAAGACGCTTTTCATGCTTTTCATGCTTTCCTTGGGTCTGTCCTTGAGGTTCCGCATCCAGACAGTGTCCGAGACTGGAGAGAGCGGGACGTCTACAGTTTTGCTGCGTGCTTAGTCTGTTCGTGCCGGTGATGACATCCTGTACACTTGACAAACGTGTGGGCGCACAGGTTGCAGTGATCAGAGTGACTGCACGAGCACTTCAGATGTTTTCAAGAGTTCTATGTCCAAATTGTCCAACAGATCAAGTGGTTTTATTCTGGAGCAGTTGCAACTCCTGGGTGAACTTATCCGGACACCATTTTTCTCCCAGGTCAGCCGTGGCTGCATCTGTGCCCGATGCCCCTGTGGTGTCCATTGCAGGGACTCTTGGATCAGTCGGAGAGTCTGAGACGTACTCTGAGTGAGTTGGTTTCTGTGGGAGCTCATCCGCTTGATGTTGCCTTTCGTGGACATGCAGACCATGCAGACCATGCAGATCAGATTGGCCAGAGCATGCTCAAGAATGCTCAAGAGCAAGGAAAAAGAGGATGCCAGGTCCCAACACCGAAATGTCACGTCCCAACACCAGAAGTGTCCACGCCGCTTTTTGGGTGTTTGGCACTGGACCAGACTCCGGTCTCGTCCGCGCGCGCGCGATTTGCCCGAGGTGTCGACCTCCGACACGGCCTTGGTCTACAGCGCTCAGCTTTTGGGATCGACGGGTGGAACTCCCATCACGGGGTGGAACATCTATGCGTCGGACGACGGCATCACTTATCCAACCACACCGACAGCGGGCCACTGAGAGAAGCTTGTATCTTCGAAGCTGAAGAGAAGCAGTGCTTCACAATGCTTCAGAGCTGGTTGATGCTGTTTTGCTTTCTGTACTTGGAACTTGTTTGAAGAATCATGCTGCTTTGCTCAGAGTGAAATCATTTGTGCCTTTGAGCTTCTGAGCATTCTTCGAGGCAACCGAAGCGGCTGCTTTCACATCTTACTCATTAGACTGCACAAACTTTGGTGGCGTCAACCGTGGACAACAGTGACCTGGCATGTGTTCGGAGGTTTTGGTGGTGCAAGAGACCCTCTTGGGAATCCATGAAATCAGGTGTTTCATGTGCGACTCTGTGTTCAGGTCGTTCTGCACTGGGACATTGAACATGAACGACAAATCATCACACATCTGCTCAAATTCGTCCTGTTCCGGCTCATTTCAGACGCGAGGAAGACTGTTTGCCCCTAAGTAGCGTCCCTTGCAACTCCGTTGGAACACATGTCATGCGTCGATCTTGTTATTATAAGTTCAACATATATTGTCTATGCCTTTTCTATCAGTATATAGTATAACTTACGTCGTTTTTTCGCCAAACACGAGGTACTTCTGGGTGAAGATGACTGCTGTGAGCAGCGCGGGTGAGGGAGCTACGTCCTCTGCGGTGAAGAGCCGTTGCTCTGCGGCGTGGGGCCTTGGGCCTTTTGTGTCGGTCCTTTGATGTCCTTTAAGGGAATTGGTTGATTTCTTCATACCATTTTATCTACTTTGTTTTCTTTTTGATATCTTTTTTTCAACATCCATTTGTTGTTAATTAGAATATCTTTTTGTTTGTTTTTGGGGGAGCACTTTGTTTTCATGTGTTCCTCCTGTGGTGCTTTCACTCTTTTTTTGGGAGCTCTCCTTCTCTAAGAGTCAGCGCTCAAGTATGCTCACATGCTTTCAATATTTTTTTCGCACCATTGGAATTCATTTTGGCAAGATGATATACAGAATCGGAGTGCGAGATGTCCACAATATTCCACATGTTTTCAGTATTTGGCCAAACCTCCGGTGATTTGGAATTCGAGGCACCTGGTACACCTGCCATTCCAAGCCTTGTCCAGCACCCAATTTGATAGCTTGGAAGACACTTCAGCAAAAGTTAGTAACATCAGACATGTGTTGATGTTGATGTGTTCTGTTTTCTTTTCGCGCTATCGAACAGTGCTTCCTTTCTTTTCGTGTTGTGGAGCAGACATGACCTGCATTCAGACTGCCTCCACCGCTACATCGATTACCATCAGCTTTGACACCAACGGCGATCGCCTGAGATGCCAAAGCCCGCCCTGCCCCGCTTCTTAAAGTAAGGTACTGCATGCTCCTAGCTGGATGGGATAGCTCACTCACTCTTCCGCTGATTTGGTTCCTAGAATGTTAGGGAAGATTAACAAACTTAAGACGTGTTCTTTTCCAGTTTTTTTTCTCATGATATAGTTCTTTTTGACCAGCCTTGTTGAGCTGTTCTCCAACCGTCCGATCGTGTGTTTTCGTGTTTTCTTTCCTTTCAGGCCTGAGCGGAGCATACCTCACTGGCTTCAAGGCCAACGTCGAAGCGGCCGAAGCGACAGCACCGACCCGGTGGGCGTTGGTCGGTCAGGTGTACACCGACGATGGGAACAATGGACCTTGGTCCATTGACACCATCACTGACACCACCCAGAGAACCTTCACCAAGTGCGCTCCTTAAACGGCCAGCCACACATGTGAGAAGCCACTCATCTTCGGAAAAAAAGGTGAACCACATGGCGCGAAGCGACCGACGACCGACTGCGGCTGAGGTATGGTTTGAGTGCTGGCTTGTCCTACCGATTCAAGGTGCAGGTTGGCCTGAAACGCCTTTCATAGCCGAAGGATGATGTGAATCACAGATTTCATGGCGGGGAATTCTGAGTTGGTGGCCGCAAAACTCTATTCACAAGGGAGGTCATGTCCAGACTAGTAGACTTTCAGATGTTCTTTTCTTCTTTAGTAGCGAAGAACCATCTCAATGAAAGAGATTTGGAAAGAATAGACTGACTAACTAGGTGTATTTCAATGAAACGCCTATGAAATAATGGAAGACTCTTGCACGGGGTTCTGGCCTGAAGTTCCACATAGGGTCTTGCATGACAAGGGAAGGCTTGCGATCTGAAATCATTTGCCATGTCTCAACGCACTCCAAGGGTGGGGGGTGGGGGATAGACATTGCACCCCATGGTTTTTGATGTCACCGTGGGAGGTCATGTCACCAAAAGAATCACCAGGGCCAGTCATCGCGGCAGCTCGTTTGTTACCAATTAGTAGCATCCTTGCTAATAGTAGTAATGCCCTTAGCTACTAGTAGCGATGCCCTTTGTTACTAGTAGTGTCCATGCTCCTAGTAGCGATGCCAGGAGCCCCGATCGTAGCGATGCCCTGTGCTCCGTTCGTAGCTTCTTGCAGGTGGTCTCCGAAGTTGGCACCAGCGCTGCTTCTCCCATCGCCACCTTTGTCTCTGCAGCCGCGACCCCAGTCGAGGGGTTCCGAAATCGAAAGGGTTCTCCTATCGACGGACCCGAACCCGGCGAACCCGCTGCATGTTCCGATGTGCAAGGGTTTTGAGCCCCAAAGGCATCTAATTTTGTGTCTGCCAGACCTCTTTATTTTATAGAAGTTTATCATCTTGAAAAAAGAGCAAAAAAACGCCATCATAAAATGCAACCAGAAAAACAACAGCAATCATAAAAGCAAGAAAAAGCAAACAACATTGCAAGCAAAAATGGAACAACTCAGGGCTTTCTGGCGCACTTTTTGGGTCCACTTTCTGGCGCACGTTTGGTCGCTTTTTTTTTTTTTTTTTTCGATCTTTTTTTTCGCTGTTTTCAAAGAGCAAAAATACAGCGTAAAAATAGCGAAAATAACGACCCAAAAGTGCGACTTTTTACCCGGCCCCGGAAAAAAACGATAAAAAAACGCGACCAAAAGTGCTACATTTGACCCGGCACCAGAAAAGACCCTTGTCCAACACTAACTCTACCCGGCCCCTCCAAACTACCCTCTGTGTTTTGCTTGTGTTTTTTTTGGTTGCTTTTGTTTTTGCTGTTTTTTGCTTTCTTGGTTGCTTTTTGTTTTGCTGGTGTTTTTTTGGCTTGTTTTTTCCGCTTTTTCTCAGGTTTGTTGATTTCTAGAATAAAGCCACCTCTTGTGGACACAAATCTAATTCTGTCAGTGACTTTAGATGTTTCATGATGTTTCTTTGTATAAAGTAAGGGATTGGCAGGACACATGAGACACGATGCCATAACCATCCGCCAATCTTCATCCAAGGCCACTCCTGATCCACCTGTGCTTTCGGTGACTGTCTCCACCAACAACCAGATCGATCTGGCCTGGACACCAGGCAGGGCATAGCAGGGCGCTCGCTGGGTGGAGCTCGCCGCTGGGCGGGATGGAAGGGCTCCGCACAAGCGTTCACCATAAAACTGCACGAATAGGAAGCCTTGACCAAATAACAAAGCCAGTGTTGAACTGCCCAAAGCTTCAAATTGTTGTGAGGTCTATAATTAGTCTATATAGTCTATACAGGCCTGGAAGAGAGTCACTCTTGCCATTTATTTTTTCGAGGCTATCGGCCTCGCTTGAGGAAGAGTGCAGCTCAAGCAGCTCAAAACATGTCCCCAACACCTTCGAGCGTTTCCTTGCAGCGGCGCCCCATCGCACGTTGGGTAAATCCAGGTGCTGATGGCGGTTCTCCAGTCACTGGCTGGTTGGTCTACACCTCACGTGCCGGTGAACCCAGCCTAAGAACGTAAGATTGTTAGATATATGGAGTGCTGCCCTCCATAGGTAGTGTAGTGAAAGCCTAGTCCTTTGTCTTGCTGTGGAAGGGAGAAAGCAAGCAAGGAAGAAGACAGGTCAAAAGAAAGACGGACGAAAAGGACGAGGAATTTACACAGCAAGGGCATCGCTACTAGTAAGAAGGGCATTACTACTAGTAGCTAGAAGCTACTAGTAGCAAGGGTGTTGAACAAATTTAACACATCCAAGAGTTTTCAGTGACAGTGTCAGGTTTAAGTCCGAAGGCCAAGTCCTGATTGAACGGTATGGACATAAACAGCTATTATTTGGGGTATGTCAGACTGTCCCTGCAGCAAGAAGGGTAGCGGAGAGCAGGAGACATACCTTTTTGGGTCCATTTCGTCAAGCATTCTAGCCTTGCTGCCATCCTTTTGAAGGCCTCCCCATCCAGTATGTAGTTGTTTTCTCCTTTTGTTATTTGCTGACATAATTGGTTTCTTTCAAGTAACTAAGACCTTTCCTTGTTTATCATGTTCTGTTTTAGTATTTTTTTTGTTAAGGTATTGGGGTTGACAGGCCGTTTGACCACTCTCAGAGCTGATCACAAGTGACAGTTCTTTTTGGTACGGACATCTGCCGTGTGCAGACGATGCCTTATTTTTGGTTGTCCAACAATGTGTGTTTGCAGAGAAGTTTGCAAAGAATAACGGAGACAACTGAGCCAGCTGAGCCTCAACCAGATCTCAGGATGGAATTACTTGGACGGCTGCCAGCAATCCTCAGTGGGCCTGCTGTTGAGAAACTACATGGTTGCCACCTGTACTACTTATGCTACTATAGAAGTATTACTTCTCGATACGAGCAAGAACGTTTTCCCACCCCCCTTCTACTTGGCTTGCCTTTTGAGAAGTCAAACGATGTCAAAGAAACAATATGGAAAGCATCGCTACCAGGAGCAAGGACGCTACTAGGGGCTCCTGGCATCGCTACGAACGGAGCATTCTTACATTTTCCAATCGGAGAGACACTCGTGGATCGAGTTCACACGCTTGGTGCAGGTACATTGTCTCCAGTGGCACAACATATACGCAAGCGCTTGACTGCACCTCGATGTTGAAGTTGTTTGGACTAGTTGGAGGCCATTGCTATTAGGTCGGAGGATATTGCTAGAAGGTTGGAGGCCATCGTTAATAGGTTGGAGGCCATTGCTATTAGGAATGACCGGAAGGATTGGCGTCCAGAGATTCGATGAGAGGTTTTGCACGGAATCATGAACAGCAGGTACTGATGTCTCCAAGTGGGACAACAACAATGTCCCTTGGATCAGAAATCAGTTCCAACTCCGCACCCGACGTGAAGAATCCGGCTCCTGGTCCGGTATGGTCAGCTACCTTCCTTTCGAAACCGAGGTGCAGCTGCAATACGTGTATTTGCGAGTTGGTACCCCAGCGGCGGAGATGTTAGCGATCACATTCCCTGGAACAAGAGAGCCTGGAGAACACAAGAGAGCAAAAAAGGTCCAGAGGTTACAGACAAAACAACAAATTAAAAGGTCTGGAGAAAAGAGGCCTGGAGCCCAAAGGTCTGAAGAAAACACAGAAGATAGGAAACAGAAGCAGTTTGTTTCTCCAAAGACACAACAAAATTAGGGGAAGCAAAGATAGAGAGTGGCAGAACCCTTTGAAGGGTTCTGTCCAGACTTTGGCGCACGAAAGCTTGCGTAACCATAACAAACCCTTTTCAGAGAAGAAGAACCTGAAAGGAGCAAGAACGCTACTAGGAGCAAAGGGCCTCGCTACTAGGAGCAAGAACGCTACTATGTTTTTTCCACATCAACATTGCAGCGGTGTTTGCAGGTGTCTGGTGTAAATGCAGCGGGCACCGGGCTTCCATCGAACTCTTACCGTTGGCGCTGCTCGGAGAAGCCAGGGGCACCAGCAGTACCAACAAAGGCAGGGGCAGAAGAATAGATGAGACGATCTTCAGAGCATCCTTGGAAAAAAGGCTATTGAAACGAACTACTACTAGCGATGGCCTCCAACCTAATAGCGATGGCCTCCAAGCTCCAGAGCCTTTTTTCGACTTCCTAAAAGGCCTGAGGTCACATGTGACTAGCTACTAGGTCCATCCTCAATATCCCTTCGTGTTGCCAGGTGTCCGGCACTTCGAGCTCTGTGACCATTTCGTGCCAACCTCGTGGAATGAGTTTTGCAAGACCAGTGCAAGGCATCCAGTGCAAGCGAGCAAGGCATCCAGTGCAGTGCTGATTCCCTTGTCCGGTGTTTTCCTTCGCATCGCTTTCTTTTTGAGGTATGTTCCAACCACGCTGAACAACGCCGTGCTCATGGGGTCAGCGACTCGTTGTCCGGTCTGAGCTGATGCGCAGCCCGGTTCCGTGCTGGGCCTTGCGCTGAAGATGGACAGAAAAGAAGAACCTACTTGCTATGACCTCCAACCTAGTAGCAATGGCCTTTGTTCAATTGCAATTGAATAGTTTGTTTGATATTCGGATACTTGGGTATGAATTTGGACAAGTCGACTGGAAAAGCTTTGATAGCTGGTCACTGCCAAATGTAATTATTTGAAACATAGATTCCCTCTATATTTGCAATTCATACTGTAAGTTGACACACCAGGCCTGGATCCTGTTTGGCTACCGAGCGGTATCCATGCCTGGCATTTTCATGCATTAAAGTTTCAGAACACTCATTGCATTTCTTTGTTTGCCCATGCTTTGGCTGGAAAGGCACACGTTTTCATCCAGTCATCGAGTAGTTCGGCAGTTGGAAATCATCCACCGTTCCATACTGAAAGCAGATCATACATCCAACGCGCGAACGTTTGGAAAACCAGGCATGTGCAGCATCTCTTTTCCTGCACTCGTTTCCAACAGGTCCTTTCCTTTCCAGTTTGAGACTGGTTTGACTAGCC